TGAAGTTTGCTCTATACAGGTTGCGTGCGGCAGGCCTTCTACCACTTTGTAGGCTTGTTGAGGCGGCGGCGGACGACCGTGACCCAGCGAAGCGGTGGGATGCAGACCGGTCACTCCTTGCCGCTCTGGTAGACCGCTGGAGACCTGAGACGCACACGTTCCACCTTCCCTGTGGGGAGATGGCTCCGACACTGCAGGACATGTCGTACCTGCTCGGGCTACCGCTGGCGGGAGCACCAGTTGGTCCCGTGGACGGTGTTTTTGGGTGGAAGGAGGATATCACTGCGCGCTTCGAACAGGTGATGCGCCTTCCACACCTAGGACCGGCCAACACCCTTCCTCCGTACTCTACAGTCGGGCCTAGCAAGGCTTGGTTGCTCCAGTTCACTGTAAGTAAATAAGTTGTTATTATCATACATGCTTATTTGCGATCAACAGAGTGTTTTGTACTAACATTTCATTCTTAATTGTAGGCGGACCTTCTGCACCCTGACGCTGATGATTACTCGGTCCGACGCTCCCTTGAGGCGTACCTGTTGTGGTTGTTCGGGTGGGTGATGTTCACTAGCACCCACGGGCACGCTGTGGACTTCCGGCTGGTCCACTACGCACGGTCCATCGCGGATGCTCAGCCACAGGACGTGCCGCAGTGGAGCTGGGGTTCTGCCGTGCTAGCAGCCACGTACCGTGCCCTCTGTGAGGCGTGCACGAAGACTGACGCGGGAGCGATCATCGCTGGCTGCCCTATGTTGCTTCAGCTTTGGGCAGCCGAGAGGTTTGCCATAGGTCGACCAGTGGTGGACAGCGCACCCTACGGGGTTGGTCGCAGCGCGCAGTGGCCAGAGGACGGTCCCACGATGGGGACTTACTGGTGTCGACGTGGGGTTAGTGCAACTTCGCTGCGTTATAAGTTTATCAGTCGTCTTCTTTTTTTTTCTTCACATAACATGTCTAATTCCGATCATGTTTATTGCAGCGTCGTTACGCTCACGTCCAGGTGAGACGAGGTTACCCGGACTTCGTGTTCGAGTTTGACCGTCTCCAGCCGAGCGACGTCATCTGGGAGCCGTACACAGAAGAGGCCGTCGCTGCGAGAGCACCGCTAGGACTTTCGTCCTTGTGCACACGCGACCAGGCTTACTGGCTCACCATCCTGCCGATGGTGTTCGACATTTTCGTTGAGCCTCACTGCCTGCAGCGTGTGATGAGACAGTTCGGACTTAGGCAGGTGTTTCCGGGCAACGTGCAGCCGACCGTCCTCCCTGCCGACCACTCGTGAGTTCGGATTGTTCATTTCTAAATTTTTATGATAATTACTTCATCGAGCCATATAATTTACCTCTCTTCACAGGTTGACTCGACGGGGACAGCTAGCAGGCGCACTTTGGGCTCCACGTGTACAGCAGTACGTTGACGACTGGGTGTTAGCTACAGAGGAGGTGATCAACGAGCTCTTCCCACACACGGAGGAGAACTACCGTGACTACCTTCGCTGGTACCTTCCTCGCACTCGTGCGCGTGTGACCTTCACTCCAGACGCCCCAGAGCCGCACGTTGCCGCTGTCACGGACGCGTATCCCACGCACCGTGACCGAGACTACTTCGTGGGGGTACGTCGAATTTGTATTAGTTCTTACAATTATTTCATTTATCTTGCATAATATAGGACAATTACTGAATTTTTTATTTCCATCTTGCATAGGCTGATGCCGCATGGGATATCAGTGCCGATATCACCGCAGTCCAAGTGAGGTTGAACAGAGGTTTGCACTTGACTGACGTTGAGCAGAGGGTGACCTTCGACCGGATGCAGGAGAAGATGCATGCGGTCATGCGCGTCTTCTCCTGTCGCAGCGCCGTGGACGTCGTACCTCCAGCTGGTCCGGTACAACCACGGCCTCGCGCGCCTACCGTCGGAGCAGGACCTCGACCTACGGCACCTGTTTCGCACGGTACAGTTCAGCCCAGAGGTTTCTTAAGTTTTGTTTCTGTTTTTGTACGAAAACATCACCCCGTCGTAACTTGATGTTCCATCCTCGCAGGACCTCGTTTGCCTTCGAGCGCCCCTACCTTCGGAGCAGTGCGACCTACAGCACCGGTTTCGCACGGTACAGTTCAGCCCAGAGATTAGTTCATTTTTGTTTCAGCTTTTGCACGAATATGTCACCATGTTTTAACTGCACGTTTCCTCATCGCAGGACCTCGTCTGCCTTCGAGCGCGTTCGCAGGCACGACCGGCGCTTCCGCGAGCTCCGCAGGGGCGTTCGCCACCTCTTCGGGCGTGTTCGCCAGCTCTTCCTCTCACGGAGCGTCGATCCCTCGCCCACACGGTACTTTACTTTTTATTAATACTATTAAATACCTGTATGAAACTGATGGTCCTTGTCCAGCAGGATTTGCAGCCGGGATCTTCGGTACTGGGGCCTCTTCCTCTCACGCCGGTAGGACTGGTCCTACTAGCCAGTTCTACGACGACGACTTGCACGGTGCACACCACCACGACGTACTAGGCTCCTCTCAGCTTGGAGGAGCTCCAGAGGCGCACACTCAGGAGCAGCCAGAGGTCACACCTGTACAGGCAGGACGGGTTGGCCGTGCCGTACCCCCGGACCGACTCACGTACTCCCAGGGGCACATTAGGGCGCAGGGTAGGAGGGACAGGGGTAAGAGGCCTCGTCAGTAGTGTTCTACCTCTTCAGTCCTTATGTGACCGTTTCTTTTGGCTTACAAACTTGTAAGCAGTACTACTTTTGCTATTACTACTGCAGTACTACTTGTGTTTGTCTCGTCTACATAGTTCTTTTCATTCATATGGTGCTAGAACAACTTATGCTCACGACAACACACTTTCGGCGCTTCACGGTAGTGTCAGATCCAGTAGCGCGCACAGTCCACAACAGCACACATGAAAAACGGCAGCTCGAGTTGTCACTATTAACTTTCGGCGCTGCTTGTTTACATAAAGTGAATCACGCCCACGCGTGATCGTCTTGTCACATCTAATGAATAATGTATCTCATTGAGTTCACATATATTGCAGTGAAAACGACGCTATATAATTGACAATCTGAAGGCAACCTCTTCATATCTTCTTTTCCACTAGCACACAACACAAGTCTTCCCTCATGATACAAACTCGGGGAAGGAGATTCTTCCAATGCGCGAACTTTGATCAGGTATGCTTCATCTATTCGAAGTTCAAATGGATAAAAAAACTAACTTCTTCGTACACAATTGTAACATCTTACGCAGACATATCGTCCAATGTGCAACTTCATCGAGTGGGTAGACATGGAGAACCCACAAAACGACGGAACACGTGCTTACCCACGTAGTGAAACAAGATCGGACTACCTAAGGCGGAAGGATAAGCATGAACGTCGAATTGCTGCTGAGGCTTTAGAATGGCACGTAAATCCCCTAGGACTCCCCACGTGGCGTGAGCGTCCGGAGTGTCGTTGTGGTGACCGTTGTCAGGTCATAAGGTCCGTAAGGCACCGAACTCGAGGACAAAGGTGTTTCGTGTGTCCAAACATTGTCGACGATGATTTCGTGGTAATTACAACTATTCTTTTCATCACTCCTCAGTACTATCATTAACTTAACTATCCCAAAATGGATGTACATAGGAGGATGTAAGGAAATGTCAATTCGTACAATGGATTGACACAGTCAGAGTTACTTCAAGTGGCGGGCCGATAACGCAACCTGAACCGACCATACAGTTCATTCATGCTTGGATGGAGTACGAACGTCGGGTGGAAATTGCAAGCTTAGACTGGAGGAACAATCCATTAGGGTTACCTAAATGGTCCGAGCGTCCAAAGTGTGGGTGCAGAGATCGCTGGCAGGTGGCTACATCCTTTGCTGAACAAACATTTGGAAGGAGATATTTTGTCTGCCCCAATGTAGACAACGATTTCGTTGTATGTCTAACCATTTACAAAATCCGCTATGATTTGCACAAAATTACTACCCAAACTGAATAACATTACTATTTTTACAGGGCAATCCAAGGATGTGTGGATTTACTCGATGGATCGACAATGTCACTCCATCATATCATGGCCAGAAGATAACAGAGTCAGAAACACAAGTAGAGTATCAACGATTGAAGGACCACGAGAATGCAATGCATTCTGACCGACCTAGAAGGGGCCGATAGGTTACCGCATGCTTGATTCGTCGGGATCGACAAATTTGTACCGTGTATCGATGGCACTTCTTATCTATCTTATCATTACAATGTTTAATTATGGTGGTGATTTTTTGTATGCGTAAGACTAAGGGCCTATTTGGATTGCTACCAAAAACATGCCCTACCAATATTTTGGTAATTTGAATAGTACTTGTGTTTGATTTCGATTGAAGCCTATTCATTGGTAATACGTAATCTAGATTTGAGATTATGTAGAACATTCTTCACTACAATTTTACATTTTGGTAGCAAACCAAATATGATCAAATGCAATTTTACCTTACCAAATATTTGGTAGTGCCAAAACTTGCTTATATTTTGGCACTAACAAAATATTTGTACGGTAACATTCCAAATAGACCCTAAAAAATAATAAAATTGTATTTTACCAGTCTTGGAGATTTTAATCTTGTATAGTTTTCAATATAAAAAGATTTGATAACTATTGATATTTATAAAAAAATATAAAGCACAATATAAAATCGCCCTCCCCCAGGGCGGCAAGAGGGCCGCCTGCAAAATTCCAGGCCCCCCGCCGCCCATTTGCAGGTGGCCCCCCGTACAGTACAAAATCGCCCTAGCGGAGGGCGGCAAGGGGGCCGCCTGCAAATTTCGTTGACGGCCGTCGCCCGAGAGCGAACGGCCGTCTGCCACGTCACTTTCGCCGCCCTCTGGGATGGCGATTTTTAAAAATCGCCCTCCCAGAGGGCGGTAGGCGATCACTTCTGTCAATTTTCAAAATGAAAAATTATTTTTTAAAACTTTTAATAAAAAAAATTAAAAATAAAAAAATTCTCTCCCCGTCGAGTCGACGCCCATCCTTCTCCTCGCCACGCCGCCGGCGAGCGGCGGCGCTGCCTGCCGTGGCGTCCTGCTGCTCCCGTCTCCTCGCTGGTTCTCCCACCGCACCGCGCCGCGCCGTCGTCCTGCTGCTGCTTCCCTTCCCTTCCGCCTCCGGTGAGCACCACCACCACCGATGAATCGATCCAAATACCCGTGTGCTGCCGGACTAAGGATTCGTTCCGTGCTTTAAGGACCATTATGGCGGAGAGGGAGTTAATCGACAGGGATAAACTCGTGCTTATAGATTTGCAGTTCCACGGTTTCCATGGAGTGAAATCAGAAGAGAAAACTCTAGGTCAAAAGTTCGTTGTGGATGTTGATGCGTGGATGGATTTGAGTGTTGCTGGGGAGACTGACAGCATATCTGATACGGTTAGCTACACAGATATCTACGGGTAGGAGTAACAAATTAATCCCGATTTGTTTTTATTTCACCATTTTACTAGAAATGTCTTGATTGATTGTTCTTTTTAAGATATTAAATCTTGCTTGTCCATTTCAGCAATGTAGGATTATTCAGTTTATTTTATTGTTCTTTTACTAATTCCAATCATTGGAGAACTGAAATATGTTCATGCTCTGCACTTACAGGATTGCCAAGGATGTTGTTGAAGGCCCATCGCGGAACCTTTTGGAAGCAGTAGCTCATCGAATCGCAAGTAACGCATTGCTTAAGTTCCCTCAAATCTCAACCATCAGAGTGAAAGTTGGGAAACCTCATGTTGCTGTACGTGGAATCGTCGATTATTTGGGTGTTGAGATATTGAGGCATAGAAAAGATGTGGGAGGCGATCGTCAGGAGCTTCATTGAGCCAGCTTCGTGCCGAGGATTACATCCCATTGCTCATCATGTCCATGGCATTACTTGAGTGCTCAACAATGCATTTCTGCAGCCGTTTTGTACCTCAGTGATTTCAACTGAAAGTTAGTCTCATGAGTTGTTCCCTTCAAGGTGGCTGAAGTTATCTTGGGGGTTGAAGTAGGTATCTTGTGTTTTTTGTCCAGTCCAAAACTTTGGCAAAAAAACTTTGCTTACAGTGACTTAAAATTAGTCAGGAGGTCAATTGATACTTTGCATCATAAAACCTTCATGCTCTGGAGCATGTCCTGTGATATAGCCTTTATTTTTCATTTATATTGTGGCATGCAAATTATGAGCTCCTTTTATTATGAGCAATTGGAGCTGTCATGTGGGCCCCACGTTCATGCTTGCTACAGATATTTGATATTTTTGCACATACTGGTCAAGCCCATTGTACCCCTGATCATCATATCATTGTTGAGTGTATCCCTTTTTTGAAGACAACATTTGCTTGAGGTATCACCGCGTCTCTTTATCAAGTTTTTTTTCAACGATAGTTTCGTCATCTATATTTTGTGGAGAATTTTTTTTTTTGGAGTATAAGTTCAGTCTTGTACTTTTGTTCTTGCTAAGTAACAAATTAGTTGCTATAAGATGAACTGTTTGCATAAAGCAGGTCCTTTCTAAGGCGCAGAGAAGCTGTGAGGAAATTATGCTGCATGCTGATTTAGCACACCTCTTTAGGTTTACGGATTTGAGGTCTTCAGGTGAGTGTAGTTTGTTACCATTCATAAATTGCCCTACCCCATTGATTCTAAAAACAAATGCTTTTTTCCGTACTTTGTTTCATGGTTTCTAACTACTTTTAGTACTCCCTCCGTTTCACAATGTAAGTCATTCTAGCATTTCCCACATTCATATTGGTGTTAATGAATCTAGACATATATATTTATCTAGATTCATTAACATCAATATAAATGTGGAAAATGCTAGAATGGCTTACATTGTGAAACGGAGGAAGTACAACATATAAATGATCTGCTTGGCTTGTCAGGTTCCAATATTTCTCACAGGGTCGCTGTTTCTCCGATCTATTATTTTACAGGGTACTACAGGTTGTGGATTATCAACAATGAATGGGATCCAATGTGCAGGTGATGATTTGTCAGGTTGGCAACTTCCATTCAAAACTTTGCGGCTACATTTTTTGGTTATCTGGATGAGTTGATTGTAATGCCGTGCAATGTAATCATCAAAACCTGTGGTGGATACAACTGGCAGTGGGGTGTACAGTTTATTTTAAGGAGGGGCAGCCCTGATTGCAGATCAATTCTTACGCACGAAGGATCTTTCAGTAATACAACAAGTCTTTTTCAGTGCTATTGTTTTGTACTGAAAATTGTCCATGGTCAGCATGAATCTGGATAGATTCTAAAGAAGGATTACCGGCCATCTTAATCCATTTCCTTTTGGTGGTATTCGTAGCTGTGAAGACATACACTAGAATTATACAAAGTCTTCTCATCCAAACTCTGCAGCAGGGTTATAATTTCTTCTTCTCCTGAGGCTCTACTACCAGAGATATGACAATAGCTTCCTGCATTGGAGGTTTCCTTGAGCTTCAAATAATTCATGGTACTTATAAACTCTTTTAGCATAAACTCTCATTTTTATTTGTTAGACCTGATTTGTATTATAATTAATATCAGTGTGTTTGCGGAATTAATTATTGTCCTGTTAACTTTGTTTCCATAAAGATGCTAGAACATCATTATTTTATCTATTGCCCTATCATTTCCACACCACTTGCCTCATATATTCCAAATTTCCAGCAAGTCCCTAGTATCCATAAAAAAAATCCTAATTAATCAGGATTGCAAGACTAGATAATGTTTTGTTCTTGTCCTTATATTGAAGCATTCATCGCAAAGAGTTCCTGTCCATAGCATTCACTGTCACATTCACCGGAGGGTAGTAAAATTCTAAGCTCTGGTTCATCAAACTTTGCCTAACTCATGGTACAATTTCCTTGGAGGATGCTAGCCGCTGGCAGGTTATCTATGCGTAATTCTACATCAACACGTGCCATTGGCATTTAAAGTAAGCAGTAAACAATGTTATTAGTACTGATGCTTATTTCTTTATCTCCACTGGATCAAGAAAAAACACCTTTCTGTCTCAATCATTTGTAGGAGTATGAAGTCTTCGACGAAAAAAAAAAGTGTTGGTAGAATGACATGAGCGGGAAGATATGGCGAGCAAAAAAAAATATGGAAGAAAATGACACCATTATCTGGCGCTAGATAGCATTCGCCGCCCTCGTGTTTGGTGTTGCTGAAGCAACCACCTTAAGCAAGGATAATAGTAAACTATAAGTTTATATGGAGAAGGAAGACAAGAAAAGTACAAAGCTCTAGTCATATGCTTCAAGGTACATGCACTAAATACATAAGCAAGAAAAGGTGAAGACAAATGTTATAGCCAATCTTATACTTGTAATATGAGTTTATAAGTAGTTAGCTCTACCATTCAACTTGAGTAAAGTGCATTGGCGGTCCTTCATCTTATAGGGTTGTGTTATATAGGCCTCTAAACTCTCAAAATACATATCTGAGTCACGTAACTTATCAAAGTGTATCATCTAGATTCTAAATTGACACATCACCTCTAGGATCCTACGTGGCGTTGATGTAGCATGCCACATGGACATGATGTGTCCTTTTCTTTTTTTTCTTCTTTTATTTTTCTTTTTATTTTCCATTTTCTTCTCATTCTTCTTTTTTTCCTTTTAAATTTGTAGCCAGCTGCAGCACGAACTCTAAGACGCAATGTGTATATGACAAGTGAGATCATATATTAATAGTGTAGTATATGTTTATAGGTAACTATTGTATATATTGGCTATTAAAGTAACTATAGATAATTTGGAGCTAGTAGTTGGTTATACTAATCTTGCTCTTAGAGCAGGTACAATAGCAGGCTATTAGCCAGCTATAAACATATTTTAATGAGATAAAAGATGAGAGAGAAGAATAGCGGACTTAGATCTGTAGCCAGCTGCAACACGGACTCCAAGACGCAGTGTGTGTATGACAGGTGAGACCATATATTAATAATATAGTAAGCAACTATTGTATGAATTGACTATTATGTTGGCTATAGATAAATTGGAGTTAGTAGTGGGCTATACTATTAAACTTGCTCTTATGGGTGTAAAGGTACTAGGTACAGAGGTAGTGTTCCCTCACGCTGTCGTCACCATGACACGTCATCAGTCGTTAGGGTCGGCACAGCATCTCCATTTTGCTACACGTCCCCCCACACCCACCCACCCCAAAAATGGGCCACGCCTAGTACCCGTAGCCCCGCGTGCCAACCATTTTATACCCCGGTGGGCCACCACCCCCACCTCCACAGCCCAAGAGAAAACACACGCGAGCACACACACACCCACACACAAAAAAAACACACACAAAAAAAAAAGAGGCGAGAGCTACAAAACGAGGCCGAAAGCGACCAAATCTCGCGACGAATTCCGCCTCCACTTTCCCTTCCCTTCCTCCTCCACCTCCACCTCCTCGTCGCGATCCAAATCCGAATCCGGCCATGGACGCCGGGGCGCAGCCGCCGGACACGGAGATGGCGGAGGCCGGCGGCGGGCAGCAGCCGCCTGCTGCGGCTGCGGCGGCGGGGGCGGGGGCAGGGGCGGGGATGATGGAGAACATCCAGGCGACGCTGAGCCATGGCGGGAGGTTCATCCAGTACAACATCTTCGGGAACGTGTTCGAGGTCACCGCCAAGTACAAGCCCCCCATCCTCCCCATCGGCAAGGGCGCCTACGGCATCGTCTGGTTCGTTTGCTCCCCCCTCTCTCCCATTCCGTTGGCGGCGGCGGCCTGATTTTGGTTTGGATTTTGGATTTTGGGTTTGGATGACAGCTCGGCGCTCAACTCGGAGACGGGGGAGCAGGTGGCGATCAAGAAGATCGCCAACGCGTTCGACAACAAGATCGACGCCAAGCGCACGCTCAGGGAGATCAAGCTGCTCCGCCACATGGACCACGAGAATGTCAGTGCTCCCGATCCGCTCCATTGTTTCGACCACGGAATTCCCTTCCCCCCCACCCACCCTCGATTTTTAGGCGCAGATTTTGAGATTCTCGTTGAATGCTCTTGTCTCTGGTTAGTTAAGTTGGTTGCATTAAATGGGGAAAGGAGGAGGAGGTGAGGGTTAGGTTACCAAATGATTGAGTTCGTCACTGCTCGGCCTAATTTGGTAGAGCTTTTCCCTCCATTCTTGCTGCTGATGATGAGTGCTGCGAGCTTCAGAAATAGAGGTAACTTTGGAGATGCCTTTAAAGAAGCCATCTGCCTTTTGGGGATGTTGTTATTCATTGTGTTCTTGAATAGTGGGGGAGCGAGTGATGTGAACAGACCTGACCTGGAGAGTAGCAACATCACATGATTCTCGTACGTGCTGATGTCACAAGCCACAACTAGCTTGAGGAGGAGGAGGAGGAGGAGGAGGAGGAGGAGGACCAATCTGGTGTTACACCTTTTTCCTAAGTCAGTCAAATCCAGTCTGAATGCAGTGGGAGTGACTGCCAGTGGGGAGGGAATTAGGGGATAGGAGTACTAGGAATTGTGTTATTGTTGGAAAGTTTTGAGATTGACTTTGTGTGTGCATGTTGGACTTGGACCTTTGAAATTTACCAATTTAAAGACTGACTAATAGGAGTAGCCCACTGTTGTATTTCCTGCGTAGGCCTGAAGTATCATTTTCAGCTTACCAGAGGCAACATATTTTTTCTATGGTTAGTGGTAGAAAGACAGCCACAGGGGAAGTGAATTAGAGAATAGGCCATATCTTCATAGCCAGCCCTAGAAAAACTCAGCTTCTTCTGAAGAGGTGAATTAAATTTGGATGGTCATAAATATTCCGTTATAATTAAACTAGTGGATTTTCCCATGCAAATATGAGAGGAGCTAGATTTAAAATTAGAGTTATATTTTGTATAGAATTTACTGGTCAACCTGGACCGTTGTAATCTAGACCCACCACTATAATAAACGGGCATATATTTATCTTTTTTCCCCGATTAATGTCGTTATTCTAGGCTTCTAGATTGAACGTGGTGGCACCCTTTTGCACCCTCTTTATTATAACATAATAGATCAATTGATACTTCCCTAAAAAAGGTTCATACAAAAAGTTGCTCAGATACTGCTTTTGCTGAACCATAGACTGGTTGACACAGGCATACACAAATGCATGCTCATGCCTTTTTTTGGAAGTTTTTTCAAACTAAAACTGATCCATTTTGTTTGTATCCTACTGCAGAAAGAGAAGTGTTTAATTTCAGGTTTTAGTGCTCCAATTATGCAGGGGAGGCTTTTGGGAGTTATACCAGTTACGGGTGTTTGTAGAAAACGATCGGATTAGGCAAATTTTGGAGTAGAAGTCCTTAGATAATGCACCTGCTTTATTGCCATCAGCTAAGATTGTGTATCAAGTCAAATTCTACTTTTCAAATCTGGCTATAAATTCAATTGTATGTACGGAAAGTTGGAAACATGAGCTAAGATTTGTACATCAAGTCCAATTCTACTTTTAAAATATAGCTTGCACAAAAAATGGCTATTTTGCATTATTACATAAAACATTACTTCCAAATTGGCGATCCTGTATTCTGAAAGATGTATTGGAACTTTTTTTTTGTCATGTGCACGTGCTGCAGGTTGGCTGCAGACAGAAGGCAGCAGCCCGAGTAGCGATTTCTGGCTGCAGTATATTACTTCAATACCAAGTTATCATTTAATTATGAAGTGCACTAAGCTGTTGCTTTCTATGTACATGTAAGCTTATCTATGAGATAAAAAAACAAACAAACAAAAAAAGCCCGTGGTTAGGATGGCTTGCGGCATTCAGCTAAGTCGAGAAAAATGCCCCTGAACGTGGCACGTCACTGGGCATGCTTAACCTCACGCGGGGAGCACTCTTCTACCAGCATTAACGAGGGGGGATTTTTTTTGTGCAAAACCTGGGCTTGAGCCTTGGTCGGTGTCCCCTCTACCAGAGACTCTACCACTGTGCTACACACACGTTTGTTCAGCTTATCTATGAGATAAATTATTAGAATCCTCTACATAAGTTATTAGAATTATGCAAAGTCTCCTCCATTGCTTCCTTCTATTGATCTATTATATGTCCATCTTCGTCTAAAGCCCTTTACTAGTCACTATTCAAGTCATCATTAGCTTGCTGTTCATCCCCATTACACACTCTAATTTTCATTTTAAGGGAAATGCATGTTGGTCTGCCTCCTTAAAAAACCACCATGTTTGAGCGTTTAAATGGCAAAAACACTTGAGCTATAACATTAAGCCATCATGAATAAGATAGATCTCTTTGTCAAGTCATTTTCATATGGTATTTCCTGGTCCATGCAATATGTTTGTTCTTGCTTTGGTTGGTCTGGACATAGTTGATTTACTTATTTTATCTACTCCTATAAGATATTTGGAGCTGGTCTGTTGTATTTCACATATCCAGCAAGCTCTTGTGTTTGCACATCGATGCTCCAAAAGGCAATAACTTGTCTCAACTTCCTACTTATGTGATGCAGATTGTTGCCATAAGGGATATCATACCTCCTCCACAAAGGAATTCATTCAATGACGTTTATATTGCATATGAATTGATGGATACTGATCTGCATCAAATTATTCGCTCAAATCAAGCATTGTCAGAGGAGCACTGCCAGGTACCTTCTTCAAAAGAAAAACACAACTTTATTTCCACTTTAGCATTTATTTCATACAAATGGCTTTTCTGGTCTGCTTGGATTCTCTTGCTTGTCTAGGCCTCTGCTCAAATTGAGTTTTCAAGACCTAAAAAGTGGGAAGTATTGAAGTATGTATTGATGGTTTATAAATGTTTTGTGTAAGAACTATAAGGAATTTGGTACAAAAGGTTGAATGTAAAGCTTTTATGGTAATTTTGTATCACATTTTAAGAATTCTGCAGGTATGCATAATCTTTGAAATTAAGAAACGAATTTAGCGACCTACTAATATACCTGAACGTACCTTTGCCCTGCAAAGCATATATGCAAAGTGCTACAATTAGGTTATCTCAGTGCACCATTGATCATTGGATCAAACTAACGTTTTCTTTGGAGATACCATATTATTTGCTAACCGATATAAAATCGAATAATGAGTTGATTGCTATTTATCAGTAGACCACATACTGTTAGGAGCTGGCGGCAAGGCACCGCAGCTCCGAAGGTTGTAGCAGTGCTTGACGGGAGGGTGATGCCGATGCCCTCGCCTCCCACAAAGCCATGGTGAGGAGAAACAGAGAAAAGAGTGGCCTTATATAGGCGATTACAATCTGCTAATGAATCAGAACTAACTGAAACAAACCTCAAATCTTAAGGGATAACTCTTATCTAATGCAAGCAACAGATAACGGCGAGAACGACACTGTGGCGTGCCATGCACGCTCACCGAACTCGTGTTCTTGAGACATTCAAAGGATTCCCCACATAACACATTCAACGTGAGAAGGGTTCAATGCCCAATCACACTGGAGAGGTCTTGCTGTATTGCAGCTTGCAAGCTCTTATGATCAATGCTACAGATAGATCTCTCCCTTTCTTGAGTGGAACTCTAGAATGGCTGCCTCACCTATCTTTCCTTATCCAGATAACTTGATTGTGTTCTCTTGTATTTTCCTTGTGCATGCATCTACCATGTTCTGAGAAATAATACATGTTTGGTATAACTGTTCTTGCGTAATTCTTTACCTTTTTGTGCAGTATTTCCTTTATCAGATTCTCCGTGGCTTGAAGTATATACATTCAGCAAATGTCCTTCACCGAGACTTGAAGCCCAGCAACCTACTTTTGAATGCAAATTGTGACCTCAAAATTTGTGATTTTGGACTTGCTCGTACCACCTCAGAAACCGATTTTATGACTGAGTATGTTGTCACAAGATGGTATAGGGCACCGGAACTTCTGTTGAATTCCTCTGAATATACTGCAGCAATTGATGTGTGGTCTGTGGGCTGTATTTTTATGGAACTCATGGATCGTAAACCTTTGTTTCCTGGAAGAGATCATGTCCATCAATTACGTCTACTAATGGAGGTTAGAACACACTCTTATCTTTTGAACTTTATTTTATATTGAATTGATCAGGTTATGTTGTGTGGTCATATATTTAGCATAACTGGAGTACTGTTTTGGAAATATATAATATGTTGATTATCCTATGGGAATATGTTAAAACTAAGGAAAATGCAAAGAGGAGAGAATTTATGTTGCTCCAGAAGGTCCTGGCTTTCTGGCTGATATGCAGGATACTGAATTCTGAGTCATGGCTATTAATACAAACGCATTTCTCACTAGAGGATTTATATACTATCTGTTTCACATTATTGTGTGTTTGATTTTCCTATCATAAATTTCTTAATTGCAGCTCATCGGAACGCCAAATGAGGCTGATCTGGATTTTGTAAATGAAAATGCAAGAAGATACATTCGCCAACTTCCTAGACATGCAAGGCAGTCCTTTCCTGAAAAATTTCCACATGTTCATCCTTTAGCAATTGATCTGGTTGAAAAGATGCTGACATTTGATCCTAGACAGAGAATAACAGGTCAGTATTGGCATAGTATGTTTTAGTGATTTAAAGGGCATTTGAATGTTGTTTTTGCCATCTTATCTATCTTGCCAATAGCAAGTAAAAAATAGGCCTTTCTCCTAAAGAAAGAAAAGAGTGAAAGAAGCCTTTGAAAGCCCTCATAAACTATGGTTTTTTTTAACACCATGTCTACCTTTCTTTTAATCTGCCACTGGCCATTTCTAGTTAGCGTTTACCACTTCCTATCTGTTTTAAGATAGAAAGTAACAACTGCAGTGGATACTTAAATATATTTGTAGAGCATCTGTGCATGACTTCTATATTACTAAATCACATGCAAACCTAAATATTTTTTTTAAAAAAAAAAACTATGTCGATCCTTTTTACCTCTTGATCCACCCTAACCTAATCCAGGTGGTATAGGTGTGTCATCACTTTATTCTTAATGCGTGAATTGAGCATCATTCTTAACTCATAGGTGGGAATGTTGAAAGAGTCATTGCCTTGTGGTGTTTTCTAATGTTGAAAATGCATTGTTCCCTGTGTCAAAACTTTTGACCTGATTTTCTCTGCATGTTTCATATTACTGAATGCCCCCTTATCTTTTCTCCTATTTCTTCTTATCCAGTTGAAGGTGCCCTTGCACATCCTTACCTGGCATCACTGCATGACATAAGTGATGAGCCAGTCTGCTCATCACCCTTCAGCTTTGACTTCGAGCAGCATGCATTGTCCGAGGAACAAATGAAGGATCTAATCTACCAAGAAGGCCTTGCGTTCAACCCTGATTACCAGTAGCTGGTGTTCTATTTCAGCCTTGGATTGATTCTATTCATATGGAGTTTTTTCCTCCTGCGCCACAAAAGGTCGCCGACAGTGATCACTAGTTGTAAATAATTGCCTCACCTGAAAAATCCTCCCTGGTTCAAAGCTGAAGGTGTTGTTCTAAGAGTAGAAATGTACTTTGTGATCAAGTTCCTGGGTAGCTGCTATGCCATTCTTATGCTTATGTATGTTGTTTAATGTGGGATTTTTTTCCATCTTAAATGTTTTTAGTCCCTTTTGTAAGAAGAGTTAGTTCATGAACGATGACGGCCTAAATTCTGCGGTTATCATCAAATTCCCCATTTTCTTGTCGATTCATGGATTTCTCATGGTTTTACTTAATGCTCCATGTTGTAAGACGTGGTCAATGGAAGAGGATATATTGACTCTTGATTCAGTGGTGGCAGTTTGGAGTTGATCGTAAGACTGGAACATTACTTCGAGATTCTTCTAAGTTGTAGACTCCCTCATCCATTATTCTAGTCTTTTGCCAATTATTTCATTGCTTCTTTTTACGTTATAATGCGATGTTCTGGTGCTTGCGTGCACGTTCTCTCCAGCCAAACTCAAAAACTCATGTACGCTACATCCCATAAAATGTGGTGTATGAACTGGCCACATTATCATTTCATGGAGTTGGTATAGCCGTGTAGGTTGTGAACTCGTAATGCCATCTCCATCTGCGTCGTATCTCAATAATGCAAGAATGCAACCTAACTAAATAATAAAAATAATAATAATGTTTCACTAATTTATTTTCAACTGTACGTCTGTGCGAAAGAAAAAAAAAAGCTTTTGTGGACAAAAATACAGTAACTAGCTAGTTTTCTATATCCACACTAAACACATCGAACATACTCCATCCGTCCCAAAAAAAAAAAACTCAACATAGAAGGGGATGTGACCCCTCCTAGAACAACGAATCTGGATTATCCTTAGGTTGAGTTTTTTTTTTTGGGACACTGCTTACTACTGAGACAAGTCCTACACTCCTACTAGAGAGGCAAAACCTTTGCTTTGGTTATTTAGGAAACCATAGTTATTATACTTCTGACCATGCAGCACAGGGGACTGAAGATCTTATAAGTTGGCACGGAAATATTTCCGTGACTCCTGCTGTTTTATGCTGTCCGCCACATGGGCGATGACGCCGGCACCGGCATTGTGAAGCCACTCATTCTTAACCTGCATTGCATTGATGCCATGAACTCCAGTGGAAATGAAAAGAACACATTTAATTTGGTCAAAATGGTATGCAGTACATACTACTAACATACATGTATGTTGTTATGAGCAAAGTAAGGCCATAGTGCTGTATGGAAGTTGACATCTACTTTCTTCCAACCGACCCTCTGCAAGCCATGGATCATCTCCTCTGTTACCAGAACACAGAATTGATGTTCATAGAGTGAGAAACAAGGGAGACATCAAGATCCAGCACATAGTACTAGTCTACTGAAAAAGGTCCTACTCACCTTCCATCATTTCGTGATATTCTTCAGTGTTTTCTTTGTTTGGTCTACTCTGTGCAGCTTCTTTGGCTCTGGCAGCTTGCAGAGGGAAATGAGGGCCATCAGATGATATAGGCGAACAATATTCCATATTCACAATGTGCTTGTAGCCATCCAGTGAACGATGTGAGGGCTGCATATGGAGGAGGAAAAAAATTACTGAAGTATTCACACAGTGCTGCAATTTGGTTTCTAATCAAATTCTAGTGGAGATCACTGAACACCTTTGTAAGGTCTTTTTCTCTTCTTATTGAAGATGTTCGCCATCCGACCATATCTGGCATATGTTCAAGAAAACAAGAGCAGCAAAATAGAAAATGGTTTGGAGCAAAAAAAAATTCGTTTGCATATCAGGCAGAGGAAATCATGTGGTACTAACTAGGAGTAAGGAAGGATACGGTCGTACGAAACATTAGCGTACAAAATGCGGTTCTTGAAAGCTGCTAGTGCAGATCTGAGGAACATTGAAGAAACAATATGTTCTACTACAATGTTTGAACGAAGAAGATATGTTCTACTATAATAAGTTAGCCTTAAGACCTTTCTTATGACTTACATAAATTTTTTATCCTCATGATCAGATGCCATCTCTAGCAGAAGAGGTGGCTTGCTAGGTTCACCATCCGTGAGAAAGAGTTGGGCACCAGTGCGGCCAACAACCAAGGGAGCCAAAGGTGCAGCAATCTTTTCTAGAATAGATAGCCCTTGAAGAAATGGAAGCTGGTAATATTATTGCAGAAAATGCATGTAATTAATACATTGATCACAAGTCACAACATATTCAGAAGTAGTACTTGGTTACTGGTCTTTGGCCTCCGATTAGCTATGCAACAATAGTTTTATACTAAAATCTTACTAGGCAACTCAAAGTCCAATATAGTAGTTTTTGCTTCCAGCAGAACTAATTTTGAGGGGAATAAAAATGTATCAGATAATTTAATAGATTTAGAGACCCACCTGATTTTTCCCTCTAACACCAAGGTGTGGGGTTGCTAAGGTAATAAAATTAATTGGTTCCAGCCCAGCAATTGCACCTAATCCTGAAGTGCACTCCAACTTTTCAGACCCTCCAGTTGTAGGAGCTATACAAGCAGCACTTTGACTTGCATCCTTCATTGCTGTTGAATAAAGGATAGAAATAGCATATCGCGCAAACAAACCACCCAAAGAATGTGCTAGGAAGGAAATCTTTCTCAATCCAGCCATCTTCTGAATCACATCCAATACCTGCTTCGATAGCGGATTTTCGTCAGAGCCCTCTTAAGCGCAGCCATGAGTGCAGACAACAGTTTCTACAAAGGTGAATACTTGAAACCTTTTGCTAGGACTAACTAGCGAGTACATACTTCATTTGCTAACCTTCTTCCAGCAACATCAATCCCATCGAAAGTTTTGGTGTAGATATTTGACGAACTAGCTGCAATGATATAGTTCACTGTAAGTTTTATGGCTAGAAACGAATTGTTCTCATTTGCAAAGTGCAAACCAATGTAGCTACAGTAATGAAGTGGTGTGAATTTCATCTTGCAGTACTAATTAAAAATATAGGTATTCTGTAGTCTGTACATCTGATCCTAAGCTCAATTTTGTCAGAAAGCCAATAGGAATGGGCAGGTGATCCCTATATGTCATACCTACCATAGATGAAAAAATTGTCACCTAACCTCTTCTTTAGCACTGCTTCTCCATAGGTCCAGTCACTGGGGCTGCATTAAAAGGGAGAACAATGAAGGAAATTTATCAGCAAAGCTCAAGAAAGAATTGTGACAGGAACAACTAGCACTGCAATCTTGCTATGCATTTTCAGACAGGTGCTATGTTATCGTGACAGGATATACTCACCTTGCAATGATACCATGGACAAGAATCAGCAGATGATCTGGTCCTCGCTTTCTTTGGGATTTTTCCATGAAAGATGAACGCGACACACGGCTACGGCTTCCCCCGAACGTTGGATGGGAATAAAGTTCTCTACCACTGTCAAGTTCTGCATGAATCAACTGTCAGCACACTATTTCATTTTCATTAACACAGCATTTTGAAGAACATCGCGATACTAAGTACAGTAGTGTTACTTTGGATGCTCATTTGGTTGTGTCAAAACTGAAAGAGATCTTGTACCCTCATGTTGCTAGAAACAAACAAGTTAATATCACCTAGCTTCTTCTCCATTAGCAATAAAAATAAAAATCGACGTCAATCGATCAACGAAGTTATCTACTGGATAACCAATTGTTTATCCCATCTTCCCCCCAAAATCAAGAATGAAATACAGAAGGAATGGGTATGGAAAGGCGGGCGATCGAAGAACCTGACGGCCGGCCGGAGGCGGCGGTGGAGGGGCGGAGGCGGAGGCGGAGGCGGCGGAGTTGGTGGCTATAATAGGAGGAGAGGTGGTGGTGGCAAGGAGAGGAAAGCGTGGACGCCATCCCGTCCCCGCGCCGCAACCGAGGAGGATGACGCGGCGGCGGCGGCGGAAGGAGGTGACGCGCGGCGGCGGCGTGGGCGGCCGTTGGCCACGTCCGGCGCCGCCGCGGCCGCCGTCGGATTCGACGCGGACGGCCGGGATGAAACGGTTCGGCTCATCCGTCGCGTGTACTGGCTGAGCTCGTGTGGTGTACAAAGTCGAAGGACCTCATCTCCTCATCTTTTCTCCCATGCTCGTGTTATCAGCTAAAATTTAAATTTTTATCCTTAAATTTAAAACTGATTTTAAGATTTTTCATCGAAATTTATTTTTCAAACTTTACTTTTAGATATCTAAAAACATGTATATAAAAATTTTATTCGGAGATCACTTTAATTTGCAAATATACCGTTTCGAAACGATGGTGCTGGAACTTGGGTTTGCGTTTGGTCCAGTACAAATTGATTTATATTTTTATTCTTGATTGATTGAATTGCGTCAGACTCAACGGTAGACGGTAGTAACGTGCATTTTGATATGAATTATAATGGCCACGGTTATGTACGTGGAGGTATTAGTTTGGTTGTTATTAGTCTTCATCGTCTTTCAAACACGTACTCTTTTTATCCCATAATATAACGTATTATTCCCATTTTAAGATAGTACCATAGAGATACATGTCGGGAATAAACTACTTGCATAAAAAAAAGAAAAAAAAACAACAATGGGTTACAATTGACGGAAATGTCAGAGTCGTACATTTTAGTGTGGGACTTAATTGTCACCACTGCCATGTATTTTTTTACGGTCATTTATACATATCACGTTTAAACATATAATTTGAATCACTTGACACTTACAAACATTTATAAAAACTCCGTAGAGGACACGGTGCGGACATGGACATATTAAAGTAGATTTGATGTCTCCTGTCCTTCAGTCCTCGAGAATTCAAAATACACTATATATTGAGATAAACGGAAGGAGAAAAATATTTCGGTCTCATCAGATGGCCAAATGCTTTGACTGATCAGCCATTTAAGCAAAATAAGCTAACCAATATGCATTGTAGTTTGGCTGAATTGGAGGCAGCTTTGGCTGATCAGCCAAAGCATTTAGCCATCTGATGAGGACCTTTTATATAATGAGACAGTGGGAGTATTAAAATTTATAAGGAGGCATTCCTAAATACACATACTACCTCGGTTGTTTGATAAATGACGTTATCGATTTTTGGCGCATGTTTGACCATTTGTCTTGTTTAAAAATTTTGTGTGAATGCGTAAGATATAAACCATATTTAAAATATTTTTAGTGATAAAACAACCAACAAAAAGGTACATGATGCTTACGTAATCTTTTCTAAAAGACGAATAAAATCTTTTTAAAAGACGAATAATCAAATAATACTGCTATACATACGACCTAGTTGTATAACTCATATACAACTAGAGACATGCAACTATAGATCAATCAAAGGAAAACATGTTCATTTGCGTTGTAATTATTTGCAACCGTTAATCAAATTCAGTTGTACGTGAGTTAAACAGTTGGGTCCTACGTATAGCAATTTTCATAATTGGAACACATGTTTAAAAATTAACGACAACGGAGATAATTAGCGGCAAACGTTCCGCTTAATTAGCAGGGACAGACAGGCACACCATACCTAACAGGAGTAGTAGTACAGCCTCAACAGTCAACACACAGTTTCACCCACGTGCGTGCACAAAGCACAACCGCGTAGGACTAGGACTACCACTAGCTGTCTCGCACCTCACCCGCCGCGCGCGACGCCGAGACCCGAAGCCGCCCCCCCCCCCCCCCCCCATGCACACCACCACGCATCAAACCCCGCACGCACACGCAGACACGCTTTGCTTTTTCCGGTTCCCACCCCCCCACACACTAGACCTACACTAGCAACCATGCGTACACGTGACGGTGTCCGTCCATCCCCCCCACCCCCATCCTATCGCCTTGGGCCGACGACTTGTCGCCGCGGTGACCCCGTCCATTTCCGCGCTTCTCCTCCCCTTCTTTTTTCTTCTTTTTTTTTGGGTGGTTTCTGCTCGACCGATTTGTTGTTTCTTTCTCCGGCTCGGCTCGGAAGAGGTGGTTTGCAAGTGCATGGGGGTGGATGGATGGATGGATCACATGGACATCCCCATCATCGGCGGTAGGGAGGGTGGGGGGGCCCCGGGCCGGTGTTGTGGATAAGCCGATCCATCACAACGCAGCAGATGCGTCCCCCATCCTCTCTGTTATCTTCTTCTCCTGTTTATCCTGCTATACTACTACTATATAACTTATTATATGGAGTTATATATATAATATGATAAAGTCGTGGAAAGAGATTAAAAGGAGGGAGAGGGAGAGGCGCAACTAGTCAAAAGTACGTTACACGCACGCACAAAACTACACAAGGATATGACACGCACCAATACCATCGTTCGGTGAACTATAAAAATAATAACACTCGTTTTCATGAATACTATACCTTGTTTGATTTGTGGGGTCTCCTTATTATCCTCTTAGTTTCAAGTCATGTTCATGTGGATCATTTTAATTCCTGTTATCCTGTAGTGGTTAATTTGGGAGGGGAGAGGAGTAATTCTAGCATCATTGAGAACGGAATTTGAAGGTACCATATTTTGTTTAAAATTTGATACCTATCACAAAAAATTTTAGTGTAAAATTTAGATATCTCGAGATACTTTATTAAGAACTATAAAATTTCTATTAATTGGGGAGATATTCTAATTATAAGGTTGGAGAACACCATCTTTAACTCATTTCATGATGAACAAGCGTAAATAAAAACACATATACAATACCTCCTCCATCCCTAACAAATTAAACTTTTGTTTTAATCTAAAAATTTATACCACAAAGACTAGATTTTAGCGTGAAATTCTCTGGACTACTTACTACATTATTTTGTCTCATTTTAGCCATAGAAGCAGTAGTACTTCATCATCTCTCCCTATTTTCTCTTCGCATTAATAAAGGCTACAGTAGTTTTCTAATTGTCTTTTAGCTAGTTAAAACTATTAGTCTTTCATGGACGAATACATAGTAAGAACATGTAAATGAAACCAAACTAGTGGTATGCAAATTTAGGCGTTGCATATAATTAATTAAAGGAAAAAATACGAATTACACCCCTGAACTATCGAGGTCGACCGAATTACACCCCCGGACAAATTACCCCCCCGGCTCAATCCAGAGCGGTTTTAATCCTACGTGGCCGCACACGTGGCACTGCCCCCACATGTCAGCCTCCACCTCATCCTCCCTCTCTACAAAAAAAATTAGTGGGACCCACTGTCAGATCCCCACACCCCCTCTCTCTCTCTACTCAATGTCTCCCTCTCTCTCTCTTCTCCCTCTCCTCACCATCTCACTAACGCCGGCTGAGACGAAGGTGGAGGGGGCGACCGGCGGCGGAGGCGGAGCTCCTCGGGCGGCGGGCGGCCGAGGTGGAGCTCCTCGAGCGGCGGGTGGCAGAGGCGGAGGTAGAGCGGGCGGCCGGCGGCAGAGCTCCCCGGGCGGCAAGTGGCGGAGGGGAACCAGTCGGTAGCGAGCGGCGGAGGCAGAGCAGGCGGACAGCGGCGGAGGGGAACCGGTCGGCGGCGAGCGGCGGAGGGCGCGGATGGGAGGGAGCTCCAGGCGGCTGCGGGAGCGGCTCGGAGGGGGCGCGGCGGAGAGGAAGCTTCGGATGGTGGGCCGGCGGTCGGCGTGGAGGGGGCGCGGCGGAGAGGAAGCTTCGGATGGCGGGCCAGTGGTTGGCGTGCACGGCGGCGCGCGGGGAGGTGGAGGGGATGGGGGAGAGGTGGGCACCGGCGGCCATGGCGGATAAGTGGGCCGTCGTAGCGCCGGCCGCCGCCGCGGGCGAGGTCCGCGAGGAGGTAGTCGCACGACGGCCTTCGCCTAAGTCGCCGCCCGCTCAGTCCGTCTCCACCTTGGCCACCGCGAGCTCTGCATCAGCCGACCGCCGCCCTAGCGAGCTCCGCTTCCGTGCGACCAGGCGTCTCCGCGGGAATCTCTCGGAGGAGCATCGTCGTCGTCCCCTTCCTCGCCGTCGCGACTGCCGTCCCCAGCAGCAGAGAGCTTGCGCTCGTGCTCCGCCTGGACCACCGCCGCCGCGGCCTCACGATGTTGTCCTCAAGATGCTGTCGGTCGGTGCCACGACGTCCCGCCTCTCCGCGATGGACGCCTGCGCCCGCCTCTCCCCCATCCCCTCCATCTCCCCGCGCGCCGTCGTTCGCGCCGACCGCAGGCCTGCCCCCGCGCGCCGCTGCCCATCGCATCCTCTCGTCGACGCTTCCGCCGGCGCTCGCCTCTCCGCCATAGCGTGCCGGCGTGCGCGGCGCTGCCCGCTGCTGACCGACAAAGAGAGAGGAAGGGAGATGGAGGAAGAGAGAAAGAGTGTATGACATGTGGGTCCCACCATTTTAAAAAAATAAAATGCTGACTGGACAGCCACGTGTATGCCACGTAGATCAAAACCACCGCGGATAAGATCGAGGGGGGGTAATTCGTCCGGTTTTAATAGTTGGGGGTGTAGAATGTCCCGTTTTTGAGTTCGGGGGTGTAATTCGGACGACCTCGATAGTTTAGGGGTGTAATTCGTACTTTTTCCTTAATTAAATTTAGGTGTATTGTTGATCGACAAATTAGAAAGCAGATACAGCCGACAAACATAAGAATCAACATAGATGATTGATGTGTACTTAACTATAGCATGACATTTCAAGGCCTACTTCTACCCATATAGAGCCAAATATTCCCCTGCCCAAGCAATTTGATGCTAGAATTTGACACACTAGTACACACGACAGATGAAGCAATTTGACTAATTGACACACTAGTACGTGCTAGTGGCACCCCAGGCAGCGCAATGCCCCCTAATTAAGCTATATAGTCTCTAAACTTAACCTTTACCCTTTGGCAAAAGTAAAGGTAAATACATGCATTCAACATGCTGGAGCTGTCAGTTCGTGCCCGGTCGATCGATCGCATAAACGTGTGATCGCGATCGCAGTGCCTAGTTCCTCATGTAGCATATTAGTTACAGTAACTCGAGTAACACTCTAAGTCGTGAGTTCAAATATCTATAGAAACGAATTTCAGATTGGATTATTTGATGAGTAAATTCTCTGTTTTATAGGCTAAGTTTTTAATTTAAAAAGACTGCATAGATATATCCGAT